ATTGCATTCCCTTTTTGAACTTGTTTTTTCATTTCGGTTGATTTTGCTTAAAATTGATTTTCTATTGATAAAAATATCATATTCCGTTCTTTTTTAGTTGCAACGGTCAAATTTGAACATTTGCAAATACACATCTTTGACCGTAAAAATATCCTACCCCCTTCGTCCCTCTAACTTTGTCCTCTTTTACCTATTTCGTCCGTCCCATTAAATTTGTCTCATACCATGTTTGGTAATATTTGGGTGGCTACAATCCATTCTTATTTTTATTCACACTTTATCAATTTAATACCAACCACGCATTTATACTTTTTGTTTAAAATCCCACCACACCCCTTTCACCCTTTGTCCCAAACATAGGGGGACGGAGGTAGTTTTCTCTATTAGTAAAAAAATTTAAAAAACAAATTTTGAAAATTTGTAATGAGATGAATTGAACAATATTTTTCTAAAAAAAATCATAAATAATAGTGTAAAATGTAATGAAGGTAGAACATGTGAATCGTGTAAAATTCAACTTGTTGCGATTAAAAAAATGAAAGATGGTAAAAAATTCAGATTTTATAAATTTACAATGAGACAAATTTAATCCATTCATTTTCATTTACCCCAGTCCCGCAAAAACTCCCAACTACGGTGGGGTAAGGGGGGTCAAATGTACACAGTCTTACCCCTGTACTAAAACACAGAAAGACAGACAAATTTAATAATACTTTCACAAAATAATTTTTTAATACATCAACGAATAAAATGTATTCAAAACAGAACATGTGAACAATGTAAAATTTAACATGTTTCAGTTATATAAAAACGGATGTTATATTAAAAATGTACTCATGTTTGAGAATTTTGACATTGTTTTATCAAGAGTGAGAAAATTCATTGATATATTTTCATGTTTATCCTCATTCATGACACACTGCGCCCCATATACATCGTCGAGCCGGATCCAGTTCCTCTGCCTTACTTAGGTAGACGAGGGTGCCATGTCATTTTGAACCAGCAGATCAAAAAATCAATGGCATAAGATGAGCGGGTCCATTTTAGGCACAAATCTCGAGGCCTCTATTTTAATACATGCCCTCTATTTTGGTAGGGTACTCTACCATAAGGCAGAGGATCTCAATCCCGTCGCGCCGGAGATGTTTTAAGACTCATAAAGTACATATGAATATGAATTTCAAACTATGTCTGCTATGACAAGACACCATATTGTGGCATGTAAATACATCCATATCCATCAAGTAATAAAATACAAACCAACATAAACGCATTGACATCAATTAATATGATATAAAAATCAAGGAGCTCGAAATAAGGGGGTGTTTGGAACTGATTCTGATTCTGCTTCTTTTTTAAAGCAGAAGCATAATCAGAATCAGTTTTCAGAAGCTGGTCACCCCCAGCTTCTAAAAAAATTGATTTTAGGAGTAAATTAGAACACCAGAATCACTTCTGCACTTTTACCCAAACACTCCAACTTCTGCTTCTGCTCCTTCAGGGAGCAGAAGCAGTTTTAAGAATCAAATCCAAACACCCCCTAAGACTCAAGAAAGATGTTACTGGTTAGTGAAAACTAGTAATATAAAAAGAGAAATGGTGCTAAATAGGAGCTTAAGTTTCCATATGTAATTAAATAAGACCTTGACTTTTTTAACTCCTAAATAGGACCTAATTTCCCATGTCTTCCATATTTGCCCTCAAGTCTTTTATTTTTGATTCAGTGTGACGAGTTCCCACGCAAGGCATCTCTTCTATGTGGACATTTGTTTCCAGAGGCAGAGGAGCATGGCCGGTGGTGCAAACGCGATGGTACGACGACGCGCCAGCAACAGTGCGGCGGCCGAACGGCATGGGGACATGTCGGTGGCGACGGAATGCCCAGATTGTACCGGTCTGCAACAATTTGGTGGAGATGGAATGGCGACACATCAGTGGCAGCTGGCCGGAGGCCGTCTTCTCCTTTTAATTCTTCGATGATTTCGTTGCCCCCCTCCCTTCTTCGTGGTTCCACGGCCTTACATCAGCTTCCCTGATGTTTTGTTCATTCTTCTGCTCTGTTGTTTTCAAGATCTACTCTGATTTCAATCATTATCTCCTCTGATTTCAGATCCATATTGTATTCACAATAACAAAACAAATCGCAGAGATAGATTTGAGGAAAATGCTATTAGGAACCTGCAGCTGGAGCTTGCTTTAAAGTTTTAACTTCTAACTTGCGCTGAGGAGCAGCGATTAAAGAGTCAATCTTAGGGGCAGATATGGTGGCGCACAGTAGCAACGCACCAATGATATAGCATGCTATTTCACGTGCTGTTTTGTGATTAAAAATCTTCCTTCTTCAATTCCTTTTAATCTTGCCTACTGTAGGATCTTCAAGTTAACCCACCAGCCATGGCAGATCTAGCTAGGAGCAAAGACCTCATCTGAAATTATAGCCGGAAAAGGAGAATGTGCTGCGAAAGAAGAATTTAAGATGATCTTGCTTGCGTGTGTGTATTTTAACATTACTTCGTATGTATTTTAAAAATGTCATTAGTTTTAACAATGTCATTTTCATAATGATGATTGACATTTTTATGACATTGTCGTTGACATTCTTATGACATTATCATTAACATTTTTATGACATTGTCATCATGATTAATTGACATTATGATATTTTTTCGACATTGTGACTTTTTTTAAATAAAATTAACATTTTCACAATAGCTATTGACATTGTCATAATTACAATGTCATTTTATAGTATCGACAATGACATTGTCATTGTGACGGTAATGCCATTGACATTGTTATCATTATATCATCATCGACGATAATATTTGGCTCTCTTGGCCTGCAGATTGTTGGACGCGGAAAGTGGATGGCCTTTCATTAGGCGGAAGCTCTGAATTGGGATTGAACAATTTTGCTAGGTCTGGGACCTTAATTGGTTCGACACCCAGCAGCTATTTGGATATTTAGACTTTGTTTTTGTTTTGAGTAGGTCCGGGACTTTGTTTGGATATTGGGATTAATATTTGGACATTAATGTTATATTGTAATTTCCTATTTCAATTTGTATCGTAAGTGCGTTTTTGCTACATACAATAGGTGCTACTCCATGTTTTGTTTTGTTTTTTGAGAGAAGAAGAGTGCTATGTTTTATTCTATGTTCTATGTTTACTCCGTGTGTTGTGACATTGTTATTGACATTTTAATGACATTGTCATTTACATTCTTATGACATTGTCACTAACATTGTTTTCTATTGACATTTTTATGTCTTTGTCATTGACATTCTTATGACATTTTCATTGACATTCTTATGACATTGTCGCTGACATTGTTTTAAAAATTTAAAATTAGTCTTATTTAGGTCTTAAAAAGTTTGGACTCTTATATTTACGTTCATAAGCCTTGTTTTAATCCTATTCAAGTCTTTTTCCCTTACGATAATCATTGATATTGTCATCATCACAATGTCATTTTTATAGCATTAACAAAATTACGATAGACATTGACAAAATTAACATTGACATTTGTTTTCAAATGATGACATTATTGTATAATAAGTACTTTAACAATGTAATATAATGTCAATGTTCAAAACAGTGCAATAAAGTCCATCAAAAAAGGCAACATTATTACAGTAATATTTATCGTTTTATTATATACTCCGTACTAGATTTTATGCCAAAATAAATACTCGTAATAAAATCGTTTCCAGAAAATTAGTTGCATTACATGAACTCATGAATCTGGAATACAAAATTAAAAATAAATAATATAAAAGGCTAGTACATACTCCTTGATGGCCAAATAAGATCCTAGGATAGCCTTTCCTCCACCAAATTGAAAAATAAAACAAATGGCTGCGAAGAATCATTGCAGCATGGCAGCAGCCGCGACAACTCAATTTAAGGGGGAAGAGTGGGAAAAGAAGAAGATCCGGCGATCGTTCCAGCGATGAGCTGCGGCTGACCAATCCAGAGACAGGTATCGGTGACTACTCCGACGATGACGAACGGCGATGAACTCAGTAGTGAGGGTATTGATGTATACGAAGCTCCGTTTCTGCTCTGTCAATTTCCTTCTAGCGCAATCCTCCGTCAATTTCCTTCTGGATGTATAAGGAGCTCTGTTTCCGTATGTTGTTGGGCCGTTGGCAGCTGTTGTACGTGTAAAGGCCACAAGGGTATTTATGTCTCTTCCGTTAAATTGGTCCTATTTAAGGGTTAAAAAGTTAGAAGTCCTATACGAGTTCGTGGCCTATGTTTTAGTCCTAGACAAGTCTTTTTCCCATATAAAAAGTCAAAACAAATTTTATAGATAATCAAAATAAGACTGCTAAATGGGGCCTTTGATGATCTTTTACTCGTTACAACTAGAAATTCATTCCCTAAAGAAATCCATCGCTTCTTTCCAAAGATTTGACATTCTCAATTGTAAAAAGAGAAATACACATTGTCAAGTTAGTCATCGCCCATGAATATTGAAGCATATTTACTTCCTTTTCAGAGAAGAAATCAGAGGGCAAAATCTTCTGATCACCACTTCTGAATGCCCAACTCCATTATCACACGAAGATCGTCCAATTGCTGAAACAAGTTAGTATCCACAGAAAACTAACCTCATAGCATGTTTTCTTTAACTAAGCTGAGAATATAGGCTATTGCTTTAAAGACTAAAACTTCCTATCTCAAAAGGTTCATACTTATTTGAGCAAAATGTCTAAGGCTATCAAGTTCAGCTCAATTGGTGTATAGGGCACACCAAAAGAGTTAGACCCTGATTCAATTCTAGCAACTAAACTCCCCTACTCTACCAGCTATACTATGAATAGTGCCCATTTACACTTTAAAACAAAGTGAATAGCCATTCCGGAGGATGATCGAAGTATTAGGGTGCATTCTTTTTTCTTCAAAAAAAGGTTCTTGGAGTTCATTGATTTTCTTTAGCATCCATTTTCATGGAGTCCATAAACAAGCCAGCAGAAGACTATCCAAAAAGATTATCCTGACATAAAAACATAAACACAATCCGTTCCAACCTCGTGATATCTTGAAATATACTACGTATTTACTTAAAATTCCAGCTGCATATATCTTTCACAAGATGTTTGTGGCTGAGATGTAAATAACTCGTATAATAGGGATTCAGAAATGAAGACCTTTTATGCTGCAGATCATATGGCACGTGAATCTGGCAATACAAGTCTATGATTAGCCGCAAACGCAATCAAGGTACAGTTGAAATTGTAACGGGGAAGGGTAGAACATTGCAATAAGATTCATCAAGCAATTGACACTTTTGCGCCGGCTGCTTCAAGCTGTTTCTTCGCTTCTTCAGCCTCTTCCTTGGACACTCCCTCCTTGAATTTCTTCGGCAAACCTTCAATCAAATCCTTCGCCTCTTTCAGCGCAAGGTTCGTCAAAGACCTAACCGCTTTAATTGTAGGAATTCTTGAGCTGCTAGGCACGTCTTCGATCACGACGTCGAACTCCGTCTTCTCTTCCACGACCGGGGAGACATCTGCTGCGCCCGGACCTCCCGGAGCAGCGACTACGGCTGCCGGAGCCATCATAGCGGCGGAGACTCCGAGCTTGTCCTGTAGGTATTCGACGAGTTTCTGAGCGTCGAAGAGGGTGAGGCGGGATATTTCGTCTCCGAGCTGAACCACCTTCTCCGGGGCTTCTACGGCAGCGAGAGGGCGGAGGAATGTGGTCCGGGTGTGGAGTTTTGGGGGGCGGAAGGGAAATTGTAAGGCTGGTTTGGGAAAGCCTGAAGCTGGGAGCAACGAACTAGGGTTAGGATGAGAAGGAGAACGAAGGGTAATCGTGGATAAAGTGGAAGCCATTTTGAAAGGTGTAAGGTGTGGTGGAGACGATGAAAGGAGAAGAGACTGCAATTTTAGATGTGCAATGGAGGGAGTGAGGATAAGGAGCGTTTTCGTTCATATGATCCTCCTCACACTTTAACACCCTGTTTGGATCGACCCCTCCATTTCTAATAATATCCAAATTTCGACATGCAAAATATTGGCAAATCATAAAACACTTTTTTATGTTTTCGACAGTTTTCTAACACACAGTTTTGTGTTATCATTTTCTGTTTCCAAGTGTTCAGTTTTCTATTTTCTTTTTCCATATTTTTATTTTCCAAATCAGAAAACATGTTTACCAGAGTTTTTCAATTTTTCATTTCATTTTTACCAAGAAACGTTGACTTAATAATTGGAAAAGAAATGCAGAATTACAAACATTTGAAATAACACAAAAATTTAACATAAATGTTCCTCAACACTGAAAGTTCAATGAGTGAGATTATGTTAATCAGAATAGTAGTTGTACTTCGACATCTCATGCATTGTAATCATCACATATTGCATTCGCAATACTTTCTCGAATTTCATGCATTTGTTGTTGTTGAGACATCAAATTCGAGTGATCCATTTTCACTTATACTTGACGTCGTTCCAAATATCATATCCTCTTCCTCATACTCCATGAACATTCGGTCGTTCCTATCTTGCATGCGAATGAAATTATGCAATGCACAATGATAGATAGTCTACCCGGGGTTATGTATCCGAAGGGTCATTGCGGGGAATAACTAGAGAGGAGTCAGAGCATAAGTAAGAGAGAGAGAGTATATTGCTGAGAAAGTAATAAGCATATTTAGCTTGGATTACAAATGGGGAAAAGGGGCGCTATTTATAGTAGTAATAAATGTCAGATAGGGACACGTGTCGTCATTCTGGTGGTCGAGGGGTCACCTCAACGGGGGTGGCACTGGCATTCGCATGTGGCCGCATTAAATGCGGCTGTTGGATGTGACGTCGTACTTGGTACGGTGATTCAGGCGCATGTGGAGAGGATATTATGTCGAGAAAGGTGCCCTCGGCTGCAGGTGATTAGCCGAGGGCTCTGAGTATCAGGGACCTCCTTAGTGCCGAGGGCTCTAGGTGCCGAGGGCTGCTGATTTTCGCCGTTTTCTCCTAGTAACTTTGTTTGCTTGAGTTGGCCATCCTGTGAGAATTTGGAGCCTTCGGCCAGGGGGGCGAAGGCACCCCCAGTGTGCCACGTGGGTTGCTCGGTACTTGGGGCGCTGTGATTCGGGCCTGCTGTGCTTCCTGCGCCTATTGGGCCTCCATTTGAATAGTAGGAGTGTATGGGTCGGGGGTTCCTGGGCCATATACTCCATCAGGAGTCCCTCACTCCTTTTCCCGAAAGGTACTTGAGGGAAAAGGAGTAATTTGTGTTTGCCCTTTGGTGTTGTTCCGTTGTAGTTTGTAAAGTTTGTGAGTAGTTTGTTGTGTGCATGTTTCAGCTGAGGGCAGTCCCTCAGTTACCCACATTCCGGGACTTGAGGGATCATGTTTGTTGTTTTGGGAGTTTTTGACATTTTTTGTTTTTTGAGGTTTTTCCCGAAGGGGTTCTCTAGTCCCCCACTCCTTGAGGCACTTGCAAAGTGGTGAAAAGGAGTAGAGTAGTGCCTGCCTGCAATATGAAGCCGAGGGGTGACGCTTTTCGTTTAATTTTGGGGGGATGCCTCGTTAAAAACCTCATTGGAAAAAACCCTGTGGGAAAAAATTCCAATGAGGGAAAAAGAGTGCACCGAATTCCCCCAACGATGAGTCGAAAAGGTGAAACTCTGGTCCGGAATGAGTGGCAGTACTGTTCTCGAGGGCTATCCTCGTCTGAAGGCGCATGTGTTGATTTGCCGAAGGCTCGCTGTTGTTATCCTAAGAGATGCCGAAGGGGAGCCCTCAATTTATGAGAATGAGGGCGCGATGAATGTGGGTGATATTTCCTGTTCTGTCGAGGGGCCCGTTGTTTGTTGACGAGTGGGGGGCAGCCTTCGATGAAGGCGTGCTCCCCCGGGGGCTACGTGGTCCTCAATGTGTTTGAGGGCTAAGTGTTCCCGAGGGGTGTGCCCGTTGTGAAGCCGTGGGCTTCTAAAGGAGCGAGCCCGAAGGCATTTGTGATGTAGTATGAGGGGCACAAGCCGAGGGCACCTCTGGGTAAGTGTACCCGGGAGCTCCTCTTGATGATGTGGAGTGAAGGAGAAAGCCCGAGGGCTAGTTTTTTGGTTGATGAAGGAGTGGTCTGCCGAGGGCGCGGTCTTGGTTCCCAGAATATAGCCATTGTAATAGAGCCGTTGGAATATCTAACGTCAGAAATATAGCCGTTGGGGGGGCTTCCACGTGGCGCGTATCCACTGGCTGCCTGCGGGCGGGTGTTACTGATTGGGCGGAACGTCGGCGAGTAATGATGACTTTGTAACCGGAAGCCCGGTTTCCAGGCCCAAGCCCGGATCCGGGTGCCTATAAATACCCCAAGGCCAGGGTCACTTTCCCTTGTGCGATCTCAGTGTAGCGAAGTTCTGCCGAATTTTCTAGAGAGAGAAGCTCCAGCCTTCGTTCAAAACCATCTCTCAGAGGTCAGTTCTTGCTCCGCTCTCGGCAATTCTTGTATACTTCACTTCCCCTTCACTTCCCGGCCTTAGATTAAGTGTCTGTAGCTTAGAGCCTTTAGGACCTCCCTCTGAACCCTTGGTTTAGTATCAAAATGTCTTCACAAAGTGATTCCCAAGACATTTCGAGGGAGCCTTCAGTTGAGGCGGAAACCTACTCCGACATTGAGCCTTCGAGCGAGGAGTCTTCAGCGGGTGGTGATGCTGCTGTGGCCATGGAGGTGGAGAAGGACCTTAGGGCCGAGGTCGAAGCCGAGGACTTCGAACAGGTAAACGAGGATGAAGAGCTCGCCCTCGCTGTGCAGACTACTGAGGAGGAAGAGGAGAAGGAGAGGATGAGGGTGACTGTCGCTATCCTTCCCCCTCGCAGTGCCGGGGAAGCCAGCACTTCTCGGCCTTTGAACCCGACGCCTATCAGTGTGGCTCCCGGGAAAAAGAAGAAGACGAGGGCTGCTCCAAAAAAGAAACAAGCAGACGTGGACGTCGAGCGGTCAGTAGGCATACCTGAGGGCCATTCCTTCCTAAACACCGCCGCCCTAGAGTTGAAGACGAGGGCGTCCCCGGCGGAGTAGCAGGCCATTCAAATCCAGGTTGGCCCTTCGGCACGTGTGGTGGAGCCAAGGGCCGATGATCTGTTACGATACGCACTCGAGGGCTGCTTTGCTGTTCATACCCTGTCAGTGGAGATGGGACTTCGCTTTCCGCTCCACTCCTTTCTGCTGGAGTACCTGAGATTCGTGGGGCTGGCCCCCTGTCAGCTAACGCCCAACAGCCACTCTTATGTAGCCGACTATCTCTCATTGTGTCGGAGCCGGGGGGTTCCACCTACCCTCGACCAATTCTTCATGTCTTTCAACTTGTGCGGGGGGGGGGGGGGGGGGGGGGGGGGGGCATTCGAACGCTGAGGGCTTTGCCAACCTGCAGCAAGTACCGGAGTTCAGGCTCTTCGATGATGTGCCTTCGTCCCATAAGGGATGGAAGGATCGGTTCTGTTACATACGCTTGGAGGAGAACCCCTTTCAGGCTCCGCTCCGCAACAGCTTCCGGCGTCATCCGAAGGTAGGGAGTGCGGCCCTGGAGAAGAATGGCAGGATACTAGCCAAGAAACCGGAGGGGTCCAACAAGCACGTTAAAATCAAAGACGTCACTCTCCCTAACGAACTGTTCAAGCTCGGCTTCCGGCAGTTTCGGCCGAGGGGCTCATCGGATGAAAGATACCCTCCGTTGGATTGCGTCTTCGAAGGAGCCGGAGGTGATTATCGAAGGGTTATGCGTTTTGTACTTAGAGAATTTTCCTTCGTTTTTTTTACTCTATGTCATTGTAACTGATACCCTTCGGTCTAATCATTCTGTGTCTTATCTTTGCAGGTAGCAATATGGACGTGAGCTCTCTTTTCGCCCTGAAGAACGCCAAAGGGAAGAAGAAGGGTCCAGTGGGCGTTTCTGCCAGGGAGGAGTCCTCCCAAGCTGCTATTGCCGGTGCTGGCGCCGGGGGGGCCCAAAGGCACTGGGGCCTTGAAGAAAAAGAACAATGGCAAGGGGACCGAGCCCCTGGCCAAGAAGTTGAAAGCTAAGGTCCCCGACAAGCCACCGGCCACTGACGTTGTCGTCATTGTGGACGAGGGGCACGCCTCCGGTTCCACCCCTCAGGAGCACATCAACCAAGACTTCTTCGGCCAGGAGAAGTTGGAGGCGATAGTGTCGAAGGGGGCATCCGTGCTGGAGGGTAGCCTCAACCCGTCGGCACTGATGAGCCAGATGCTGCCCTCGTCTGATCGGCTGGCCCTCGCTAGGATGGATGAGGGCTCCCTCGAGGCCAAGATTCTGCTGAGCAGTGCCTCCGTGAGTCACGTTCTTCTTTTTCCTTTGTATTTGCTTTTGCCCTTACGTACTGTGTTAACCATGTCTAACCGCTATCTTTGTTGACTGTAGAACTTCATGGGCCTCTGTGAGCACCTCCGAAGGGTGGAGCAGATGAAGGAGGCGAAGGGTGCTGGCGAAGGGGAAGCTGCCAGCCTTAGGAAGAGGCTGGCTGAGGCCGAGGATTCCCTCTGCTTGGCCACTGATAGCATGGAGCAGCGAGTGCAAGCTGCGAGGGCCGAGGGGAAGACTTTTTGATGCACTAAACAATTTTTTGACGCACCTTTGTAATCACATTGCTTAACTTTTGGCTTCGGCCCTTATGAACACCCTGCCCTATGTTTTTGATGAATTGATGCCTCCGGGCTTTTGTATATAACATGTTTTGTTTTTGAATGTATGTCTTCGCCTTTTTGGTGAATGAATGTATGTTTGTGCGGTATTCTGGCCGAGGGACCAACTTTTAGGACTTAGAAAATATTTTTCTAAATATAGTGTATCCCGTAGCCCTCGGCTACTAGGCCCGTTTAGTCCTATGAATATTTCACCGAGGGCCAAACGTTCAGGACTTAGAAATTTTTCCTAAGTGTTGTTCATCTGTTGGCCCTCGGCTAATTCCTTCCCTCTGATTCTGTGTAGCCTTCATGAGATGACCGGAGGCAAAGCGCTTAGGACTTAGAAATTTT